GTATCCTGTTCTGTCATAATGTCAGCTTCGATATGTTCTTGACTCTCAGGATAACCAGTTATAAGTATCTCATGCATCCTCATGAGGGTCTGCAAAAGGGTGCGTGGTCCATATTCGCCTGGAGCAAGCGAACCAGGAGGTATGAACGGAATATCTGGTTCGCCTGCAATGAAGGCCTGAACAAATGCCTGAGACTCCATTTCAATTAAGTCTTCAGTGGTCTGGGGATATTCCCCCATCAAAGACGGCCTGTTTCCAGGCGGGATTTCGGGCGGAGGTTCGAGGTTCCGTTGAACCTCGGAAGGCGAAGCCTCTATAGTGGTGTCCTCGTCGTCGCTCTCGTAGGCCATGATGTTGCCTGGGTTCCCGAACATCCAGTCGAAGAAAGAAAGAGGCTGGTTTCCCAGCGTACCGTGTTCCACGGGGGTGAGCTCGTTGCTGCCCATAACGAACCGGCGGACGTACTCGAGGTACTACGCGTACAGTCCATGACCATACCCCTCGAGCTCGTCGACGTTGTCCATGCCAACAACCCAAGTGAAAAATATCTGCTCCATAGCCTCAAAGTCCTGGAGGCTCAGATACTCAATGGATGGTTCACTTGAGCCAAAATGGACTTCGGTCGACCTGCCCTTTCCATTTCTTTTCACTGGACAATCTCGCACAAGATGATCGGAACTACCACATTCATGGCATTTGAGAACCTGACCGTCTCTACCTCGCGGGTTTCCCCGCCTACCTTTACCTTTTCCTGAGGTCTCTCCACGGCCTTTACCACGGCCTTTTCCCCCAAAGAATATCTCATCATGCTGTTCATCTGAGAGCCTCTGGAGAAATGCCGCGATACCTCGTCCGTTCAACCTCCGACGACCTCGCTTGCCTTTACCCTTTCCTTTAAAACTTCTACGTATCCTCCTTCTAACACGACGCACTGGTTTTCGTGTGAACCTCCTCCACCTTCGTTTAGCCTGTTGTAATAACCAGAACAAATGCTCAGCACGCTGATTGTCGTTATCCATATTCATAATATCTGACCAATCTAAAGCTTCAACACCATCTGATGATATAGTGTCTGTATCGGTGCCGGAGTCGAAATCCTCGTCTCCCAAGTAGGTGGATACACCGTCGGTTAGGGGGTTTGATTCCCCCCACAAAGAACGGTGTGGTTGTGGTTCTCTAGAAGGAGGGCTGGTTGCCCAGCTTGGTTGTGATCGATCCCCTGCTAATAAAGCAGTGGATTCTCCTGGGTCATCGGCCCATATGCTTGAGGGCCCGTTTCCAGGCTGGGCTTCAGTGGTCAAGGTAGTGTAGAAATTTCCACTACCAGATCCCCTTCCCCTTCCAAACACAGATCCTATGTTACCAGGAGACCGTTCGGATAGGTGGCCTATCGAACGCATCCTCTCCAGCAACTCATCATACTGTTGTTGTGTTCGGGGCATTTGGTGATTGAGTGGCTGTAAGAGTTGCATGGCTCGCTGGTTGCCGACGCCTAAGGCGCGGAATAGGATAGTGGTTAGCAGTTGGAAGTTGGGAAGGTCGAATCCCACCGATTGTGCCTCAAGTCGGGCCATTTCGAATCGGGTAAGGGTGACATCGATTCGTTCCCCGTGAGGCACGTGGAAGTCGATGAGTTGCGTGCCGGAAGTGAGCTGTCGCTCATCTTCCAGGCGTTCGAACTTCATGCTTAGGAGGAACATAATGTAGGTCACTGGGTCTGTGTGGACCCCATCAATGTCAGCACCATACTTGATAATGTCAGGCGGTACCCTCATGGCGAGTGTCCTCGCTAGGCCACCTAGGCCGCGTTGTATTGCGGCCGCTTGGGCCTGTGGCGTCATACGTCCGCTTGTAACGTTGAGCCATGCGTTGACCTCGTAGATGTACTCACGAAAAGGTACATTACCTTGAGGGTCCCAATATGGGCCATGTGTTTGCCCATCGGTGCTGTTTTCTCCACGACGCATGTGTCCGATTGCTGCCCCCAGCGCGAACCATAGAATAGCGAAAACGACTAGCCCGAGAATGTGTAACGAAGGACGGTTATGATGCGCGTTGTCGCGCTGGGGTAGCGCCTTGTCGAGTCTTCGAGGCGCTCTGTCTGGCGGGTCTCCCCGCCCCTGCTTCAAGTACTGCGCTGTTGGCTCGTTGCCGAGCGGTTGGTGGTAACGCAATGATGAAGCGTATATGGTACCAGTCTGGTCGTCTAGACGTCGTACCTCTCGTGTTGCTTCTTGCTCTTGGATAGATCCTCGTAAACGTACTGGGAGTGGTGGCGCAGGGTGGTAAGTAGTCACGAAGATCGTGCCGAAGAATATGAGGCTAAGAAGAGCAAGAGCTGACCACACGAGAGTGCGGCCAGCTCCGCTACCAAGTCGAAAGTGAACCTGGTAGCTCAAATATGGCATATAGCCTGGCAAATTGCATCCATCGCTCTGCTGTGAAGGTACAGTATGAGGGGTGGATGAGTAAGATAGGATAGGATCGATGTAATGATCTTTCCAGCACATAGCGAACACTCGCGGTGTCCGGGCAAATAGGGCGCGCGTGCCTTGAGCCAAAGGCAACGGCGCGCGAGCTATGCTCCCGATACTGTAACATCTCCCAAAGAGCTACCCTTAAAGTCAGCTGGCTCCGGGCAATCAAAATATGGCACAGGAATTGTGATCTGGGAACACGAAGAACACGAAGTGGCCTACAGCTGGCTCCGGGCAATCAAAATGTGGCCTGGGAATGGTGTTCTGGGAACACGAAGAACACGAAGTGGCCTACAGTTGGCTCCGGGCATTCAAAATGTTGCCTGGGAGTCAAGATGCTCTCTTTTGACCCTGGAGGGCACCCAAAGGCCCTCTGGACGGTCCAAGAGGGCCACGAGCCGCCGAAAGATCGATCGAAAACGCCCACGCCGGCCTCAAGACGGCCCAAGAGGCCCCAAAGACGCTCCAAGAAGCCCTCAACAGGCGTCCCAAGACGGCCTCAGAGCAAGAACCGCCCCAGTTCCATTGGGAAACCTGCATGTTTAGCACATTCGCCTTTTCTGCAGCGACAGCGTCCAAGACAGCCCGAGAAGCCTCCTGGGTCGCCCCAAGACGGCTCAAAAGGCTCCCAAGAAAGCTTTCAGACGGCCCAAGAGGGTCCCAAGACCGCTAAAAATTAGCCTGGCGAAGAACCCAACCATATGCAATGGAAAATACCGCAAATGCGGGTAGCGTCTTCCGTGGAGCTCCCTCTAGGGCCACGAAACGCTGTACTGGGCGGGTGGACCGAATGCGAACTGCGCCACTGGAACCTTCGGTGGAGCGCCCTACGGGGCCACGAAACGATGCGAAACGATGCACTGGGCGTGGGATCCGCATGCGGACTGCGCCACTGGGACCTTCGGTGGAGCTCCCTCTGGGGCCACGAAGCGCTGCCCTGGGCGTGGGGAAGCCGCCTGCGGGCTGCGCCACTGGAACCTTCGGTGGAGCGCCCTCTGGGGCCACGAAGCGCTGCACTGGGTGGGGAAGCCGCCTGCGGGCTGCGCCACTGAACCTTCGGTGGAGCTCCTTCTGGGGCCACGAAGCGCTGCCCTAGGTGGGGAAGCCGCCTGCCGACTGCGCCACCGGGACCCTCCAAGGGGGACTGCGCCTGCGCACTGCGCACTGCGCGGGCGGACTGCGCCACTGGACACGATGCCCCGCGAAGCCCCCCGGTACGCTCCCAGGGCGCCTCCGAGTGGCCCGAGAAAGATTCGATCGGGCCTTCGGGAGGGCCCCCTTAGCGGCTCAGAGCTGCTTCCAAAACGCCCCCAGCATGCCTCCCACGAGACCCAGTCTGCCATCCGCGCGGCCTCGGCCCCGCAGCCCAGGCACGGTGGCGGGATGTGCCGAAGGCCATTCGACCCGCCCAAGACGGCCCAAGAATCAACCAGTGGTGCGTCGGAGGCATGAGTTCTTGCCATCCTACACGCACTTCAAAGAGAGGTTCCGTTCCCGATCTAATCGACATCGCCTGAAGGCTAGTCCACGGGCTACTCCACTCTCGTCCCATCAGATCCGCCCCACCTCGCGTCCCCTTCAACCACCGCCCCGACAAATTTCTCCTGGGCACCATCCCGACCAAGCTTTCAAAACGAGCCTGGCTCCTGTGACGAAGGCCCTCTCGCGGCCTGCACGAAACCAAAAACTACACCCGTAAAGAACCTCACACCAGACATCTGCGTCGGTGGCTTAGGGGAGCCTGTCTTCAAAACCCCTTCTGCCCTTCGGAAGTGATTTACCCCCGCAGCGTATTCATAGACACACCCACCCACCCACTCGACCGACGGCCGACCCGAGTCAAAGATCCCCGTCATCACGATACGATCAAGACAAAATGCATTTTGCGACATGACCTGGATCATATTTGGGATTCCCGCCCTCGCTGTGCATTGGTCTGTCACACGACGGCAGGGGGCATCAGATTACACCGTGTGTGCAGGCCCACCATCCCTCTCACAAGAAGACACTGGAATGTGAGCGTGGCGGCACAACCCCCCCGACCCCTTGGACTACCCTCAGCGTGTGAGATGCTTACCACTCCCCCGACCCCGCCCCCCATACCCTGGCCTGTTCGATTTGGAGGGAGGGGGGTCCGCCCGGATCCCACGGGCCCGGCCCCAACGCATCATGGGAGGACAGAGGCCCCCACAACGAGCCCAGGCGGCCCCAAGAGGCCCCCAAAACAGTCCAAGAGGGCCCCCAAACGCCAAACGCTCCTCTAGGACGGCCAAGCAGCCTCCAGACGGCCCAAGACGCCCCCCAAACGCCCCCAGAAACCTCCAAAAGCCCTCCCGACAGGGCCCCACGACGCAACAGTCATTGATTTTCAATCCGTTTTTGAAAGAGTTCAGCGTTCTCGCCTTTTCGGTTTCCCGACGCTTCACGACGGACCAGGAAGCTCCCGAAATCTCCCCAGACGGCCCAAGAGGCTTCCCAGAAGGCCCCGAAACAATCAGAAAGGGCCCCCCCACACAGCCCCACAGACGGCCCCCAAGAAGCTCCGAGAGGCCCCCCCTGGGCCCCCGTGCAGCGCCCAAAAGGGCACCAAGGAGCCCCTGCGGCGTAAGCCCAAGAATCATACTGCCGCTCACAACAACTCGCACCTTGGGATCCGCAGAACTCTTCACATGCAGTCGTGTCGGTGAACGTGGTTCGAGCGATTTCTGTAGTGCCGCAGCTGTTGTACTGTTCCAGAGTAGCGCATGTTGTCGTCAAGCCAGCGGAATCGATGCTCCAGACCAACGTGAAGCTTCCAGCGCCGCTCCAATATGCATCGATGATGAAGTATGCTCGCTGCACTGCTCCTTGGTTGTTATTCCAAACGTGCTGCATGGTATCGGGATCGTCCGTGCACATCACAAGGTTGGCACCTGGGCATGCACCACCCCAACGTGTCTCATGGCGGCTGTCGTAAGCGTTGCTGGACATGCCGATTGTCAATGTGAAGCCGGATGGAACATCGATGTAGAAGATCTGTTCATTCCCATTGCCACCACACGATGTGGCATGCGTGTTCATGCCTGTCACTGTCGTACCAACGTAAGGGCTGGACACTGTGGACAGATCTATGGCTGCGCTGCAAGAGTCCTGTGGCTTGTGGCAGGTAGCGTAAGGATGGATATGGTAGATCTCTGAGCACGTTGAATGGAATGTCCACCAATCAGATCCGTGGCCATAAACTGCTGTGCATGTTGGGTCATCATTGCAACACGTCTTCGCCGATTCCTCGGTGTAGCACGTCGAGGCACACTTCGCACACCTAAAGGAACGGCAATAGCCAGCGCCGTCGTCCCCGCAGTTTTGCGGGTCGTTGCAATGTGTATGGCTCGATGAGCACACGTAAGGGGTCGGAGCGGCGGTCGGATTAGGCGTAGGGGATCGCCCCCACGGATCCCGTCGAATTCCCCATCCTGTCAGCTGCGAGGCGTTGCTCCCGTTCATCGCTGCCGCAAGCTGTATCATGCTGGAATCGGCGGGGACCGCACCCAGGCCAGCGGCCCCGCGTGCCCCAACAAAGCTGGCAATCATCAGTAAGAAACGGGCCATCTGCGGGACAGGTGAACCGATCACAAGGTGTAGGATGCACGAGGAGCGCGCGGGTATGCTTCAAACTGCGAAGGCCCAGCTGGAACCGAACAGTCTTGAGCCAGAATGGATGCGGGAAGGCCATTGGATATATAATTGGGAGCCCCCCACGCATCGAGCCCAACATGTATGCATTTGCGTGGCCAAACATCTGCGTCGTTTGCCTTCCAGAAACAAACTGGTCCCAAATACAAGCTCGGTCCTTCGACCATCTTCCCCCATACCCCACCCCACGGCGCCACCCCCGCCCGCCCGAGCGCGGTGACGGAATCGCCCAGCAGCGCAACTGGATCCGCCGACCCCTGCTTGCCAGGGGTGAAAAGGCGTGCGACATGATTGGTTGTCCCCCTGAGTGTGGTTCTGATGTTGATTGAGGTGGACATTGTTCGAATGACGATAACCTGATTGAACTATGACTATAACCAGAACTGGTCTGGGTGAAGGCAATATGGTGCTTCACCCGATCAGTATGATATGAATGTCGAGCTATGAATATGACTATAACTGGTCGTGGTGTACGTCTGGGTTGGGTCGGAGAAAGATTGATGACCGACCACAACTGCGAATGTGACCAATCTGGCTCCTGGTCCAGGTAAGTTACACTATTCGAACAGATTCGGAAAAACGTGACTAAACCCGAACCGTGACCAGGACCAGTCCTGGTCACAATTGTGGTTCGGTCTGCACTAATATTATTATTATGTTATTGATGCCACTCGACCCAAACCAGAACCGTGACCAAGACCAGTCCTGGTCACAATTGTGGGTCAGACTGCATCAAAATTATTAAAACGATTGCAATGACAATCGGACCAAACCAGAACCGTGACCAGCACCAGTCCTGGTCAGAATTGTGATTCGGGTTGGATTGGTACTACTATAATACCTATACGACCACCGTTCGGGAAGGAGGGTGGGGGCGGAAGGGGGGGAACCAATACTTGACTCAATCGATATCACTATCGATCTCACTCAACGGGACACCACGGGACATCACGGGACACCACATGACACTACGGGACACTTGTCGATCTCATTATCGATCCCACTATCGATCTCACTCAACGGGACACCAAGGAACACCACGGGCCAGCACGGGACACCACGGGACACCGCGGGACACGTCTCGATCTCACTATCGTTCTCACCATCGATTTCACTATCGACCTCACTCAACGGGACACCATAGGACACCACGGGACACCACGGAACACCTCGGGACACCACATCGATCTCAATATCGACCTCACTATCGATATCATTATCGATATCACTCAACGGAACCCCACGGGACACCTGTCGATCTCACCATCAATCTCACTATCGAATTCACTTTTGGCGACACCACGGGACACCACGGAACACCTCGGGGCACCACGTCGATCTCAGCATCGACCTCACTATCGATCTCACTATCGATCTCCCTCAACTGGAAACCACGGGACACCACGGGACACCACGGGGCACCTGTTGATATCACTATCGATCACACTATCGATCCCATTTTTGGGGACACCACGGGACACCTCGGGGCACCACGTCGATCTCAGCATCGACCTCACTATCGATCTCACTATCGATCGCAGTATGGGTCTCACTATCGATTTCACTCAACCGGACACCACGGGACACCACGTGGCACCACGGGACACCGCGGGACACCGCAAGCCACCGCCAGACGGACGGACGGACGGGCGGGCGGGGGAGAATCATTTTTCTTGACTGCGCCCTAGCAACGGCGGACACCACGGACGGACCTCAACGGCGGCTCGGATACCACCCGGTCCGATAGCTCGCCCAACTCATGTGTCGAAACTTCTGACCACAGAGGCGCTCATGAAGCAGCGCTGATCCAAACAATGCTTTCACCTAAAGAGCCTGACACGACATCCCTTTTAACATCACTAGCCCTACAAAATTACCCCAGTGCGACCCTACCTAGAAGTTGGAGCCTCTAGGAAAGCAGCATTAGTTGCTGTGCTATGCTATGCTATGCTATGCTATGCCATGCTATGCTGCGCTATGCTATGCTATGCTATGCTATGCTATGCTATGCTATGCTATGCTATGCTATGCTATGCTATGCTATGTTGCGCTATGCTATGCTATGCTATGCTATGCTATTATATGATATGCTAAGCTATGCTAAGTCATGCTGCGCTGTGCTATGCTAAGCTATGATATGCTATGCTATGCCGCGCTGTGCTATGCTATGCTGGGGTATGCTATGATATGCTGTGCTGCGCTATGCTATGCTACGCTATGCTATGCTGTGCTGTGCTCTGCTATGCTAAAGCTCAGCGAAGCTAAGATGAAGGTAAGCTAAGCTAAGATAAACCTGAGCTAAGATGAAGCTTAGCTGAGCTAAGATGAAATAAGCTAAGCTAAGATGAGATAAGCAACGCTAAGCTAAAGGGACGTAACTGGGGGAACCGCGGGGCGGATGCGGGGGGAACCGCCCGGGGTGATTTCCACTGCCCGGCCCCTTTAAGCAAAGAGAGTAAGAACCCTTCTAGGCAGAGCCTAGGTAGGCAAAAAAAAAGTATGGCTTGTAGCCTCCACAAAAACATTCAATGATATGACCGTCCCTGGTATTAGGCGACCCCGAAGAAAGTCCAAAGAGGGCTCCCCCAGATAGCGGTGAGTGAGACCAGATCGAAATCCTCACTGCGGTCATTCTCGTCAGGGGTTTTCCGAAGGCTTTCCAAACGATCTCGGGGAACACATATTCCGACAGCTAGCCCAAGCTCGAATCGCGCCTCTCGGACACACAGGCTCTTCCAAAAAGGCAGGGGACGGCGGTGACTCGCCGTAGGCGTCTTCGATACGGTTTTTGCTGTCTGCGATGATCTCAGGAGTGGTGCGACAGCTGACCCCGCAGTCCCCGTAGGGATGGCCTACCCAACCGACAGAACCGCCGGACGCAGTGGCCGCTGCGGAGCAGCGAGGTGATCAAGCGCCCTCACGTGAGGCCTGCTACTGCAACTGAAGCCACAGCTGGGCCCCCGTCGCTGCGCGGTCCTGCCGCAAGGGCCAAAAGTTGCGCACAGGCGTCCGGTGTGACAACTGGCCCCGCAGTCCCCGTAGGGATGGCCTACCCCACCGGCGGAGCCGCCGGACGCAGTGGCCGCTGCGGAGCGGCTGCCGAAGCGATCGGAACATGGTCAGGAGAGGTGCAAGGAAGAGACGCACTCCAGCATTCATCTGAGAAGTGGTGCGACAGAGGGCCCCGCAGTCCCCGTAGGGATGGCCTACCCCACCGGCGGAGCCGCCGGACGCAGTGGCCGCTGCGGAGCAGCCGCCGAAGCTTGAGTCGAATGTCGTCAGCTGAAGCTTGCCTCTGCAACCGAGAAGACGAACGCACTTCGACCCGTCTGGTGAGAGATCTGAATCAGGGAAGAGTGGTGAACGCATGCCTCCGACGGCATCGCTGCCTCCGTGTGGTCATCTTGTCCTAGTAACCCTCCGACTGCAAACCCAGAATGCCCGAGATGCTTGACGTAAAGATTCAAATACTGGACCCCGTCCTGAGTGCGCCCATAAGCAACTTTTACATTCACCTTCCCAAACTTAAACCACTTCGGCTGTTCGTCGTGCACACCCTGAGCTTGGAAATGAAGACCGCCCGTCCCTTGCACCTCCACCCACTTCCCAGTGATATTCAGCTGTTGAAAATACATGTCTGCGCATTGTCCACCCGACTGGCGCGCATCGGCCTCCACACGAAGCAATGCATTTTTGTGCCTTCCACGAGGGATGTTTATCAGAACATGTTTGCCCGGCTTCATCAAATCGAACCGCTGACCAAGAACGTTTTGCAAGTGGGGATCGCCAGTGGCAGCCACACCGCCAGCTCCGCCAACCGTGGAACCAGTTCCTGCAGGAAACGTCGGATGTGGCGTTGGCCAACCCGGAGGATACGTCGGGCTGGGCGTCGGACTGGGCGTCGGGAAGGGCGTCGGGAAGGGCGTCGGGAAGGGCGTCGGGAAGGGCGTCGGGAAGGGCGTGGGGAAAGCCGTCGGGAAGGGCGTCGGGAAGGCCGTCGGGAAGGGCGTCGGGAAGGCCGTAGGGAAAGCCGTCGGGAAAGGCGTCGGGAAAGGCGTCGGGAAGGGCGTCGGGAAGGATGTCGGGAATGGCGTCGGGAAGGGTGTCGGGAAAGGCGTCGGGAAGGACGTCGGGAAGGGCGTCGGGAAGGCCGTCGGGAAGGGCGTCGGGTAAGCCGTCGGGGAGGGCGTCGGGAATGGCGTCGGGAAGGGCGTCGGGAAGGGCGACGGTGAGGGCGTCGGGAAGGGCGTCGGGAAGGGCGTCGGGAAGGGCGTCGGGAAAGGCGTCGGGAAGCGTGTCGGGAATGGCGTTGGGAAGGCCGTCGGGAACGGCGTCGGGAAGGGCGTCGGGAAGGGCGTCGGGAAGGGCGTCGGTAAGGGCGTCGGGAAGCGCGTGGGGAAGGGCGTCGGGAAGGCCGTCGGGAAGGGCGTCGGGAAGGCCGTCGGG